CTAAGACATGAAATAGTTGGAACTACGGTATTCATACTTTGATCTCTCAGCGGCTTTTTATACTGCACTTGGCACCATGAATGTGCAGCCCCCATTTTATTTATTAGGATTTATACGCTTTTAAGGCATCATTCAAAGCACTCTCTTCTCCAATTTTTCCCTTTAACAACACCCCTGTGATGTAGGTTGGGCTAAGAAAGAATAATGGTCCAGAGCAGTGTTTCTCAACCTTGGCAACTTGAAGACGTCTGGACTTCAACTCCCAGAATTCCCCAGCCAGCTGCTCTGGACCATTATTCTTTCTTAGCCCAACCTACATCACAGGGGTGTTGTTAAAGGGAAAAATTGGAGAAGGGAGTGCTTTGAATGATGCCTTAAAAGCGTATAAATCCTAATAAATAAAATGGGGGCTGCACATTCACAGTGCCAAGTGCAGTATAAAAAGCCGCTGAGAGATCAAAGTATGAATACCATAGTTCCAACTATTTCATGTCTTAGTGCAGTCATAAATCCTGGTGCTAAACTACTTTGTCTATCCCTTTCTGATGTGGGCTACAGGAAGGGTCTGCCACCTTTCTATCTTACAGCTCAATTTAGATTTCAGTGCACTCCTGTTTCTTTTTGAGGCATTCATAAATTTACCCTTCTAACAACGGACGGATTCATATTATGCACGAACTATTTTTTGCTTTAAAATCTGATTCACATTATAACTTACCTCTTATCTTGCAACATCGCGTATAAGGAGCCTATTGCTGGATTGAATACAGTTGCCTTAAAACCGTCAGGGTTTTCCTGAGTAAATATATTAAAGTTACTTATCAGATGAAACTGAAGCAATCAGAAAGCAGGGTATGGATTTCAACAGAAGCGTAAAGCGGAGTGAAGCTCTAATTTTATTATTTGTCCTCCTGGTTTTATAAGCGTTATAGTGCTCCAAAGACAAGCAAGTTGTTTATTTCCCTTGTGGGATAGGAAACTCCATCTGTATCTGATACACGCAGTGTGATCCGGCACCTCTTGCATGAGGCAAGGGGAGCCTATGAATGAGCATGAGGAAAACACACAAAAAAGTTAAGCATAGAGGAGTTGCCCCAGCACAGTGAACGGCTGGCCTTTTTTCTCCAATAATCAGCCACAGAAGATGCCTGTGGAAAAGCATAAAACCCACATAATGGTTGTCATTGTTCACCAGTCTCCCTGCCTCCTGAGACTCCCGCCCCATGCACACACTTTCACAGCGGGAGGATCAGCCCCCTGAATGAGCCTTATCCTCCCCCACCCCAAAACCCCACCTTGGAAACTGCGGATCAAGCATCTCAGGCCAAGCTACATCACAGCAGCACAAATACTTGGTTTTCTACTTGGGTAGAAACAAGTAGCTGGACCTGCCAACTATTCCCTGGAGCCAACTCTGCCTCTGAGGAGAACCTAGGCCTTCCCAAGAGCTGTAGTCTGTCAAGCCTCTGTTAGCATGTCTGGCATATCAAGCAGCTGATTCATGGGCATCAAGAGAAGGACCTGGTAAGTGCCCTCAAAATGCTCACCCTGTGTACAGTTTATCTTGCAGGAAATCCATCAGATAGAAAGTCGTGGCTCCGTTGCTTCAACTGGATGAAAAAATACCACACCATCTTTTTGGTGATGAGGATTGCCTTGTTTTGTTTCCCACAACATATTTCCTGAGTACAATAACAAAGGCAGAAAAAGACGCCCTTCGGTTTCTTCCCCTGAGGACTGTCCTGCCACTTATTCATTTATAATACTTAACTTCTCTGTTTAGAATGAGGTGAGCTTTTTATCTTCCAAAGCTTGAGATTTGCACCAATGTAGATGACTTGGTTAAATTGCTACCCCTTGAAACCTTGAAAGATAAAAAGTTTACCTCATTCTAAATAAGGAAGTTAAGTATTATAAATTAATCAATTCCTATTTATAATAATTCTAGCTTTAGGCATTGCTGACTTCCTATGCACATTCATTCTTCTATAAAATTGGTTATTTCCTGGAAATAATCTAGCCAATATTCTTATGGTAAATAACACATACCCATGTTTNGGATTCACTGAAAAACCGAGTCACTAGCTTACCATTTGCAGCGATTCACTTAACAACCGTGGCAAGAAAGGTTGTAAAATGTTGCAAAACTCATGTAAGAAACGTCTCAGTTAGCAACAGAAGTGTTGGGCTCAATTGTGGTCCAACGTCGAGGACTACCTGTCCTTAACAATTAGACTTAGAAGCACTTTATTGTGACTTTGAATGGACGCTAATCAGCATCCATGAACATGAAATTTTGTTGCGTGCAGCTCTCAAAGGGTCACTTGGACAGTATTTAACCTGGACAGTAGATTCATCACATAAACCCTATTCATCCATGTTCAAGTTCCTTTCGGGGCTATCAATATGGGGGAATCACTTGAGCTGCACGCAGGTTTCAACTCTTATTTGGTTTTCAAACTCATTGGAGAACTTTGACATACTTAGCCGTTGGGTTCATGCAATGCCTTAAGACAGGATCAAACAAACCGCAGCATAACCGGGAGATCAGACAACAACCATCCATCTAATCTGTCTCACAAGGCCATTGTGTGGGTAAAACTGGAGAAAAGAGCAGACCGGAAGTATTAGAAGGATACTTTGGACATGCAGCGCAGACATCAAAAGCCAAACTGTTAGAATGGGAATGTCTCCAGAAAATGATCTTTTCATGACAGATGATAATAGTAAAGGTTCTCCATTCTACAGCCTGTCGAATTGCCGTATTTTCCCCCTATTATTTATCTTGCTAGACTTTCCACCTTGAGAAATCTTTGTGGAATCAAAAAGCTACAAGGCCATTTTTGGGTAACAATCTGATTACTGATCCAGATGACCTCTATGCTTACATTACTTGGGGAAACTGTCGATCAACAGTAAGGATCTCTTAACTACCCATCCTGGAGCTGAGAAGTATATTAAACGGACATTTGTTTTCAAACTATGATTTCAAAAAACGTATGCAATAAACACAGTGAGATGCTTCCTTCTGTGGAGGTTGTAGCCACCAAGAATGAAGATCCGGAGGCGGAAGGAAATAAATTATTTGCGGTTTTTCCCTCCCAAAACCTTGTACATGACAGGCTAGTCCTCAACGTACCACCACAATTGAGCCCAACATTTATGTTGCTAAGTGAGGCAGTTGCTAAGTGAGCTTTGCCCCATTTTACGACCTTTCTTGCCACAGTTAATAAGTGAATCACCGCAGCTGTTAAGTTAGTAACAAGGTTGTGAAGTGATTCTGGTTTCCCCATTGACTTTGCTGGTCAGGGAGTCGGAAAAGTGGTCACCTGACTCCAGGATGCTGCAACGGTCATAAATATGAGTCAGTTACCAAGCCACTTGAATTCTGTTCATGTGTCTATGGGGATACTGCAACAGTTGTGTGAGAAACAGTCATAAAGTCACGTTTACAGTGCTGTTATAATCTGAAAAGTCACTAAGCAAACCATTGTAAGTCAAGGACTATCAGCATCCTCATCTGTTTCAAGGAAGAATGGGATAGGAAGTACAAAGGATGTCAACATGAAGGGACATCCGAGTGTTAACCTGGATTTCTGAAATCAAGCCAGGAAACATGTCTGGGATTCACATCAGCAAGGCTCTCCGACCTTGCCAACTTTAAGACTTCTGGACTTCAACTCCCAGAATTCCCTCAGCCAGCACAAATCTTTAAAAGATCCGCCTTACGGTATAGAGACAGTATATTGTATAAAGGGATTATAGGAGCTTCAATCAAAAATGCAAAGTGGAACAAAATGCAAATCCGAGGCAGACCCTCAAAAGCAGGGATCTCCCACCTTGGCAACTTTTAAGACTTGTGGACTTCAACTCCCAGAATTCCTCGGCCAGCCAAGGAATTCTGGGAGTTGAACTCCACAAGCCTTAAAGGTGCCAAGGTTGGAGACCCCTGCTTAAAAGCACAAGAAGAGAAAACAGGCCCTGTTACTTGTCTATGGCGTGTCCTCTTTTCTCTCTTTTCCAGCTTTCCCTCACCTTTTCTCCGCTCGAGTAGAAGAAATATCGCAGGCGGACAATATTGCAGTGATCCAGCTTCCGCATGATCTGCAGCTCCCGGTTCTAAAGTAACAAGAGAGATCAAAAATGAGGCGGGGGATCTCGGTGGTTAAAAACTAGCAGGATGGACCAGTCCCCTTTTCCTTCTCATCTGACCTTGAAACGTTTATCTTGTAATACTTTCTTGATAGCCACCAGCTCGCCAGAATCTGCTAATCGGGCTTGGTAGACAACGCCAAAGGACCCATTGCCGATCACTTTGATATCGGAATACGAGACTTCTTGAGGGCGGTCGGGACCCTGGCCAGGTGTGGCCACCACCGTGGTCACTTTGCTACTATCTCCTGAAAAGAGGAATGACGGTCAAATCCGGATGATTCAGACAGGACGAAAGTCTGATTTAGTCCAAGCAGCCTAATTTGAACTCACCAAATGTCTTTCTGGGCCTTTCCCAATCCTTCTCAACAATTAACGCCCTTAAAACATTTCCAGTCCCAATTAAAAAGATGATCTTTGCCAAACCCACATTAATACCAATAAGCGCCTTGGGTGCGATTCCAAAACAAGCAGGAGCACTCCTGGAACACCATCGGCATTGACAAAATCCCCACCCGTCAATTGCCAAAGGCAGCTTTCCTCGGAACAACGGACATCCCGCAATAATCTGTTAACACCTTCAAAACATCCACATCTGCCTACTCCAGGGAAGGACTTGATAGGGGGACAAAAATACCAAACTCAGTCTGAACATCTGCCTGCGTGATGGAAACATAGTAATTTTTATTTTTTTTTAAACCCAAGCTGGTTCATCCTTAGCCCTACAGCTTCCAAACTCAAACTCTACCCTAAGACTATCCAGATTCCTACAAAACACATCACACCCCAATTCCTGGCATGCTTGAACACCAGGAAGGAGCACCTAGAAGATGCTGTAGTAGCAAGCTTGCCCTTTTTAAGGTGGGACGGCTGGCTGATTGGCACCAAACAGGGACAAGTCATAAGGGACATTTCAGGTGAATAACCAGGGAGAAGACCAGAAGGACAAAGGGGTTTTTTTTTTCAGGGGGGGGGGATGCATTTCTTCGTTTTTGTTTTTTTTCCCCCCAAAAGAGCTGGCACTCACCATCATGGGCTTTATCCTCCTGCCTGCCTCACCCGCTTTTCCTGCTAGGACTTGCATCCTTGGTGAGTTTCTCACTAAATACCTTCACCCCTCGCCTGACCCACCCCCACCCATGGGCTGCCATCCCTTGCCAGGCCCTTTTCTCTCTCTTTTCTATTAGTCTCTCCTTCAGACCCAGCAGGGCAAAAGCCGGTAGCCCAAGACCACCGGGAGAAGGGGGGGGGCAACACTCTTCCCTGCAAGGGGAGCCCAAACGGCGCTCTATCCAAAGGGAAGCCTTGCCTGGAGGGAGGGAGCAGCTGGCGGCAGCAGCAGCCCCATGGAAAGCAAGCCCACCTCGGTCTCCCCTGGCCTGGTCTCTTCCCCCCCACCACCCTGATTTCATCCTGACGTCACCAGAGTAATTCTGGAGCCAGTTGCTGACCTCAGATAGCTTCTTCCTCCAAGCCCCAGTGCGGCCAGGGGAGGACCTCGACCCGGGAAGGGCCCCCCTTTGGCGAACCCCGCCCGCCCCTCTTTCCCCCCCCCCCCACATATACACTGCCCCTGTCATCCCCAACGGCAATGCCCCCCCCCACCCACCC